TCCCTCCCTCCCTGTTGTTCTCATTTCCCCCAGCCATTCTTCCTTCGAACTATTTCTGAAAGCCTCTTTTCCGTCTTTTTTTTTTTTTTCAGGTTGGTCCTGGAGCAATTCTCCATTAGTCCGGCTATCATCCCAACCGTGCACCCTGGTGAAAATATTTTCAGGCCTTCTTCTTACCGGAGGACTGCTTTGGTCCTTGACACAGCTGGGCTTACACCCCAGAACCCGTTGGAGAGCTGCTTGTTCAGGTGAGCTTCCCAGTGAAGTAGGTAGGGAAAGGGTGAGTAGACCTGGGCCTGTGCTGGAGAAATCAGTTCCCATTTGAATGCACATTTCTGTCTTGGAACTAATGCATGAACCAAAGCCCAGGTGTCTCTTAAAATTCATGCTTCTCTCAAATTAATACTGGGTTGATCAATGAAATGGAATGCTGAAAGACCGAGAGAATCCAAACTGATGCATTTGCAAAAGTGGAAAGCTGAGAGGTCTTGACATCAGTCGCTTCTGCTTCCTCCTGTCTCTAGTGAGGGCTCCTCTTAACTGAGTCTTGTCCCTATAAAACTTCCTAAACATCAGGAAGAAAATTTCCTCTCAAGGCTTCTGCTCTTCAACGTGTTAGCTTCCGTGTATGGATCTTTCCTTCTCTAAAGGAACGGGATTCACCCCACAAACTCCCAAGCTGGCCCTTGGATTGATCTCAAGAGGATAATGTAGGGCCTGAAACTCAGGAAATTATCCTCAAGCCCCATACTGTTGGGCTCCATCAAGGACATAAGAACCACAACTGTCGTCTACGGAGACCCAGGGTCTGGGCCCCCCTCAGGCATGGAGGCTTTCTGGGGAACTTTGGGCCCATCGCTCCCTCTCAGCTCAACCCACCTCGCAGGGTTGTTGGGACGGGGGAAATAGGAGGAGGGAGAGGAGGGACAGAGATCAAATCAATAAATATGTACACACATACAGCCTGAGTTCCAAAAGCAGCATGATGGACATAGGACACTGAGCTGACTAGATCCTGGGTCAGTGCTAGCAAAACAGAACTTCTGAGCCAACCCCAGCTTTAATTCTCTCCCTTAACTGGGACGCTGCTTTTCTGGCTAGCGCCTTCTGGAAAGACTCACAAACAAAGCGATCTTAACCTGCTTTCAAGATCTACTGGAAAACTCCCATCTTCCAAGCCAGCCTAGCCCAGAGACCAGGAACAGCTGCCCAATACGTGCAAAGGGTGGCAGGCTGAGAACAGCTGAATTGCACCATCCAGAGCAGTGTTTCTCAACCTTGGCGACTTTAAGGGGTGTGGACTTCTGGATTGGTGTGGACCCTCTGGATTGGTGTTTCTCAACCTTGGCAACTTTAAGGAGTTAAACTCCCAGCATTAATGCAAGATTTAGGAGCAAGGAACAGAATCTTGGAAACTACTCTGGGAACTTCCAGCTCTCGTTTATTAACGAGTTCATCTATAAACATTTTGAATCCCTTATCAGCCTGGACTGAGCTGATGTTTCACAGATAAGATACCAACCACCTCTTCTCCCATCTGCTTGACCCGCTTGGATTTTAGATACTCTTCCGTATCTCTGAGATCGAGCGATAGAGCGGTGGAAGTAGATTCAGCTCAGTTACGGACAGTTTGGAGTCGAGCGTAGGATCTCTTTGGTCAGAAGCTTTGCGAACCGCTCTGCTTCTGGCTAATCACCCCTCTGAGTCCTTCATACCTGCTATCTCTGCTGAACCAGACCCTGCTCCCCGCTTCCCGACGAAGCCTTAATTAACTCCCTCCAGTTGAACGACTTGAATGCGGTGAACCCCACCAATCATTTCAGCTCATTGCCTTCGCTGTCCCTGGAAATGGGAGACCTGCAGGCATCTGGATAATTGGTTGAAAAACAGCTTAGCTTTTCTGCTGCTGCTTTCCTTTATGCTCCCTGCCAGTGGGCTCTTTAAGAAGAAGAAGGAGGAGGAATAATTAGGGCTGTGCTTTGTTTGCTGGAATGGCAGCAAAGGCCCTCATCATCCCAAGGAGCGTTAGGTGCGCTGATGAAACTGCCTCCCCTGGAAGCGGGAAGTGCGTTCAGGCTTCTCCGCTTCAAAGGAATATGCTCCAGTTTCCGCACCTGACCCATCCTTTTTATCTGCAGTGGAGGAATTAAGTTGACCTAGCTCGGTTCGGTCTAGGGGCACCAGACATCCACATTCGGAAAACCCCACAAAGAAAGAGGAAAATGCCGAAGGACCCGTTGATCCATTTTTTTCAGGGCAGGGAGGACAATTTTAGTCCTATGCCACCAAGGTAGCTTTCTTTCTAGGAACAGTTTACCTCTTCTGGGTCGAGAGTTACTCTGTGTTTTTGCTTGAAAGGGTGTGATGGTAAGTGATGAATTTGCTCCCCTCCTAAACCCTTTGGATCGGTGTTTCTCAACCATGGCAACTTTAAGGGGTGTGGACTTCAACTCCCA